CCAGGCGATCATCCGGGCTCTCTAGGAAGCCGGCAGTGATTTCACTGAAAGTTTGGGTAAGCTCCTCAAATTCCTCGTCGTCCCTTGCGTTCTCGTGGGTCCATGTGCTGTTCCAATACCCAGCAAGAAGTTGATGCTTCCGCGACCTTGCAGCAAGATAGGCTGCCTCGCCCAATGCAACGAGCTGCTCGTGGTGGTTCTGCTGCAGCCTTTGAATTTCGAACATGAGCTGGGCACAATACAACCCCATCATCGCCGACGGCACAAGCCCAGCAAAAAACGCCAGGAGCACTTGCGCAACCATCGCTGCAACAATCTGAGCGCCCCTCTAAACTGTGTTTAAACGCTACTGGACTCGTTTTAGGGGGTGTCGCTTTTCAGGTGGTCCCGTCGCTTTACAGGGCTTCGGCACTTTGTGTCCCGCTCTATCCTGCTTTGAGATCCACATCGCCACGAAGCAAGAACGAACCATAGCCCCTCTCAAGCCTCTTCCTTCACACGGTTCCTGTAAAGGGTTTCTATGAAGGGTTATTGTAAGGGCTCTACGACTCTATATGCACATGGGACTAATACCGGCCTTCATAATTCGAACAGTGCTTTGGGGTCGATTATAAATTGACTTGTCCTGTCTGAGACCTGCTTCCAGGCCACAAGGAAGTTCACCCCGTCCAAGAGGTGGGTGTCGGTGATCCATGAGGCCACCTCCTGCGAGGACTCGGCTTAGGGCCTTTAGGCTATTTACAGTTTTCGGCTACAGCGTTGCAGGATTCGTCGCGGGTCTCCATGATCCTGCTTTCTACGGTCTAGATTAAAGTTTTGTTGTTGCCCTACTTATTCACGCATTCTGCCCCAGAATGTAGATGTATCGTCCCCCTAGCTGCCCTGCGAGATACTTTTACAACTGGGATCCTATAAAACTGAGCCTTCCAAACGAGGTTATTGATCACGGGTCTGAAACTTCCCTCCAGAGGCCGTCAGCGGGCCGGTCTGTGCAAGCCAATCCGCAGGCAGAGTCACAAAGAACGTTAAAAGCAAGCTTTGGGTCGCATAACATTGGCACCCTTTCTTCTCGCTAACCCAGAAGTAGTAAAGGCCTTGTTGAGTTGGTAGCTGCGCTGTATGAGAAACTTCTGCTGCATGAGGGCCTGGATCTGGAAGAGCTTTCCGGAACCTGTCAGAGCTTCTCAGATAGTTTAAAAGGATCAAAACAAGTAGAATTAAAAACGACGCCTCACCTCACCTTGCCCTCTGCCCCTCCTCAACAAAATAGCTGCTGGTTTTGCAGTTCGGACCACAAGAAAACCACTTGCTGGATCCTTTGAGATGTCTTAAGCCAAGCTTCGTCAGACTGTGTGGTTCAGGGTTGTTGGCAGCTGAATGACTTTGGCTTGCGAGCGAAATCGCCGCATACTCGTGCTGTCGGAAACAGGTACAGGAAAGAGAGGCTACAGCGGCTACAGTCAGACTGCTGCAATGGTCTAACACGTGACCCTAGACAGCTGAATCGCGAACCCTGCACTGCTAAATGGTCGTCTGCGAGTTTCTGACATCGTACTGCCCATAGGATCATAGGATCCTCATGGATCCTCACGAAGCCATGCACGAGAGGTGTTCAAGGCAGGCCCAAAGAGCGGCCAGTTTGGCACAAAAAGAGGAAGACTCCAACCTACACGGACCCTATAAGTCGAGAAATCGCTTTAGCTATTCCGTTTTGTGGCTGCCTACACACCAACGTAGCCTTTCGTTCGACCCAACAACCGACTACTATTAAACACCATACCGGCTCTTTGTAGCCTTGAGGCTTGAAGTTTGCTTAGACCCTAAGGCCCAAACAGTTAAAGCCCTAAACCGTAAGGCCCTAAACCATCCAATCCCTCAGCACCTTCATGACAACCCTGGCCAGAAGACTTCTAGGAACCCTTCCAGAACCTCTATGTAATAACCCTTACAAAACCCGAACACTAGCCCTAAGCCCCTTTACGGTAGTAAGCCCGAGGTTTCTTTCTTGCTGTGTCCCTCGTCTCCTCTCTCTGTCATCTACCCGTCGGCTTGCCCGTCCATCTCTTGCTCCATCCATCCATGCGAGACCCGAAGCACCAAAGCCGAAAACTCGAACCCCACATTGCATGTTGTGCTTGTAAAGCTACGGAACATCTGAAAAGTGTTTAGGACTTGGGGATTCTGCGTGTCGGGGTTTGAGGTTCTGGGGGCGTAGAGGCTTAGACTCAAGCCCACCTGCCTTGCATCTGCTTCATTGTCTCTGCTACATACCTCGGATGTGGCTGGGTCTACGGAATTTCGTCGGCAGCTTTGACGTTGGAACATGCTTAGACCTCATCGAACAGATTCAGGAGCTGGGCCTCAGGGCATTGGGATGCTCCATCCGGAGGACCGTTGCATCACGGGTACTGGCAAGCCGAAGGCCAAAAACCCTTCACTTCACTCAAGCTACCCCTAAACCCTAAACCCCTGAACCCCTGAACCCCCAAAACCCCAAACCCCTAAAGCCTCTCTTGACAAAGTGTGGTCGAGGAATCCCTGAGTCACGAACCATAGCTCCCAGACCCACAGCCCCTGCAGCCTAAGCCGTTGCAGGCCCCCAGAAAGCCTAACCCCGAGCCTTCTAAGGAGCTAGAACGGGCCTTCAGGGGCTTATAGCCCTCGAGACCCACAGCTGAAAGGCCTAAAACCCCAAAAACTGGACCCCTAAACCCCAAAAAACCTCCAGAAAACCCCAGAACAAAAAGGAGGCTTCGGGTTTCGGCGTTTGGGATTCCCGGGCCCCTGAAACGTGATAAGCTGAAGAAGCCTCCTACTCTGAACCCTGCAGGCCCAAAGCTGTCTTCAGGATAAGCAGAAGAAGGCCTTCGGGTTCTGGGCGGTATAGTGATATATACTGCAAGTATACTATGGGGGGGTAGGGTTTAGGGTTTGGGGTAAACATTAAAAGCATGAGGAGACTATAAGGGCACGCTATAAGCAATTAAGGGCAAGCTGCGGCTGGACCTGCTCAGCTTTGGTGACCTCACTCTTCCAGTTGGTCTCCACACATTCGAGGTCGATGGCAAGCAGGTGCCCTCCGTTCCTTAAGGCACCTGGGATTAGGGTTGAGGAACTTAGCACTCCCTCAGTGAAGCTCCACGGACCCTGAACTGTTAAGACCCCGACGGCACGAAACATTCTAACCCAGAAAACCTTTAATCTCTCCACAACCTCAACCCTGAACCCCTTTACCTTAAACCCTTGTGCCCACCATCGCTCTACGACTCCTCTTGTCCTGCTCATGGAGTGCACTTTGAGTTCATGTACAGACCATCTGATACAGGACAGCCGTTTAGTACATGAGTTCGCGGTCGAGGCGTTTCTTATCTTATAGACTTATAGATATTTACCGGCGGGGGGTCTGTATGCTCCTACATCACCGTTGGTGGTCCATTGATTGGAATCGAAGCCGGGATGCATTGCGACATTTTGGCATACCCTTCTTAGTGCTATCGAAAATACACCAGACATACCTGTTTCTCCGGAAAAGCACAGGCTTTGCTGCCTTCTTCTTTCCTGGGCACTGGCTTTCATCGCCTGGGCCAGGGTCATGTTGCGAAGCTTGTCGCACTTCGTTTCCTGGGCGATGGCCGAGAGGCACCTTGAACTACCAGAGCCTACCGTGGTGATAGGGTGTTACTAGCCTCGTCAAGGGCCCTACAAAAGGCAGGTTTTGGTAGTTTCAAGTGGGTGAACCCATGACTTCCCTACCCCATGGCCATCCGATCATCCCCCGTAAATCCCAAACCCGACAGCCATAGATGCAATTCAGCAAACCCGTCCCAGCTCAACATACCAAGCACTAAACCTACCCCACAAATCTGCCTCTTTTCCACAGTTACATGAAGCCGTAATGCAATTCATAGTGATCCTTAAAAATGATCTCCTTTGAATCCTGCGCAACCAACTTGCTCCGAGACTCAAAGGCAACACCCTGAGCGCTGAAAGGCTTGACAAACCTTGCGAGCACTCTGCCGTTCAGAACCAACAAAAGGAACAGGACAACGACACGCGGGACGTTCGTGGAAAGCAGTTGGGTGCAATGAGGTTTCACTGTTTGTGATATTTTGCTTGCTTGCTGGCTGCTGCTGGGCATACCTTCATGGATGTTCCAGCACCCGGGGCTCTAAACATAACTACGAGAAGGTCAGAACCACTTCCCTTCGGCACGATATACGCATTACCTTAACCCAGGTAGGTTACCACGATTTGCAGACAGTCTAACGACGCATCTTGACTTCCCAACGCCTGAGCTGATTGATGTAGATACTTGATTAAACAATACTCCTTAAAGCTGTAAATATTCGGATTGCTATCATTCTGAGCCCTGTCAAACGAAACAAAGAAGGGGGCGGACCATCAAACATATGAGCTCAACCCTACGAAGCCCCTTCCCCATGCCCAAAGAGCTTGGGGAGCCCCTACACCCTAAACGGGTCCGCTAAACCCCACACCCCAAACCCAAATACTTATGACATACATGCTGAATCCCGAACCATGCTCCCAGCCCCTGACCTTTTAAGCTTAGGCTTAGTACTACGGGGCCATAAGAAGCGACCAATCGCATGCCCAAATATATTCAACGTCGGAAGCCCCGCAAAACCCTGGTCGAATTGTTCTTGGACCTATATTTGGTTAATGGTTGAAGCGCTTGTGGCCTCGAACCTAGAACCCTCGAAACCCTAAACCGAAACCCTCTAAAATTTGGTACGTGCCTCTGACAGCCTAAGCCAACACGGAAGCAACAAAAAAGCCAAACGGCTCTGCGTCTGAGCAAGGCTTTGAGGTATACTCGATCCAGCCCTTCTCTGCGCAGTGCCCGACGACGAAGATAACAACTGCATCCAGGAGCACATGGAGAACCAACATCAGGCGTAAATCCGTACATCGTAAGATCTCATGCTTCAAACCAAGGGCATGGGAAACACGACTGTATGATCGAGGTTCAAGGATTCGGGCACAATGCTTCGTCACTGGTCCGTTTATGGGTTTCGGGACAGACAAAATCCTGTTAAACCGGGTGGCTCTTCATCGGCGGACTGCATGTCCTTTGAAAAGCAACACAGCCGTAAGCAACAACATAATGCTTCCACGAAAATTTGCAGTCGTGGTCTTCTTCAAGTAGCTGGGGTTTCAGGAGGGAGTCACTACCTTCCGAAAGTCTCGAATGAAGACGTCCTCAACACAAATGGCTCCGGAAGGGACCCTCCAAATAAGATTGCCGACCAAGGTTCAAGCCTCACGCTTTAGGTTTAAGCTTTAGTGATGGAAAAGTTGATGGTTGAGGAAGCGAATTCAGCAAAGGGACACTGGCTCGGGTGCTCCCCTGCCCATTCAACCTGGTGCGACAGGGACTGGGATTGCCTTTGTTTTGATGAGACGCCGGTAATTTGCAGTGAAAAACCCAGATCTGTACAGAAGAGTTTGAAGCGTACCAAGAAGATGACGTGTTCGAAGCCTGATGCTCAAATCTCACAACAACTGCTGCCGGAAACGATGCATCAGATGACAGTCGGAAAGTCTCGCGGTGAGTTCAGTTCTGCCCACATCATCTTTTCCGGGTTAAGATTCGGAATGTCCAAACTACGCACAGCATTTGCGCAGTAGCGTGTGACACGGCGTAACACAATCTGTATAGCATGCCACAAAGCAAACCGTCACATACAAATGTATGATACGGCCTATATGACTGCATTGCGCGGCCGTGCAGTACATTGGTCTGACGGACATAACAATGCGCTGCGCTGCGCAAGTTCCAGCAGGTGACACCTTTAAAGGTGATATATTTAGCTAAACCGCAGGTCAGAAGGCATGACAGCAGCAAGCCCGAACGCGAAGATCGTAGCCCACTGTGTGCTAACTAGCATGACACCTTGTTGCGTTACCGTTCCATGGGTTTTTTTGAAGGAACTAAATTATCGGAGATGACCACTATACAATGCACTTTTCGTATTGTTGGAGCTTAGACTAAGTTGCTGAATAAGAGCCGTGTCTAGCTTGTGTTCAGGCAGCACTAAACTGCACCCGCTTGCTACCCATCGCCTAAACCACCAGCTCCATAAAAATAGCTTACAAGCCAATCGTTGTTATCCTCTGGTTAGTCAATATCCGGCGGCTTTCGTAATCTTGAATTATATACCTCCATCTCCAAAGGGCTTGTGCACCAACCCCCAGGAATCCTAAAAAACCTACACCCAAAACAATAAAGCCAAGAATCCCTGCTATGAGCCCTAAGTTAGACTCACAATGAAACTGACGCTAATCACCAATTAGGGTTTGTATCACACCAACTATGAAAAATGATCCGTAAGCAGCAGCCTTATAGCTCCAGAATTCTAAACCTTAAACCGACTTATTCCCTAAGAACACCGAACGCAAGAGTCTCCAAAGCCGGGGCCCAGCAACCAGCCGGGGAAGCTCTCCACTCAAAGGCTGGCTGGAGACCCAATTCTTGGACAGCAGGAACGGCATGCGGGATGTTGGGTTACGGAATCTACACAAGTTCTAAGGACTCGATATACATGTATTTATGCTCTATAAGGGTTGCTGGTTTGGGGTCGGGATTTGCGAGTCGTGGGGTTTGCGATTTTGGAGGCTTGCGGTTTAGGGTTTGGGGTTTTAGGGTATGGGGGCTTATAGTCTCGATTCTTGGGCCTTGAAGGCTTTGAGGTTTGGGGCCCAAGAATTTAGGCACGCAGGCTTCATACTTTAGGGAATCGGGCTGCTCGCCAACCCATGTGCGCACGGTATTTGCGTGGGTGTCCAAGTTTCAGGCTTGCTTGGAGGGTCAGGGGACGACGTACGCGAATTAGTGGTCATCCTGCTTGCAAGTGTACTTTTGCACCAGCTGATTAAGCCTTCATGTTTTTTAGTGTGGATTGGAGATGCCGGTCCGCTGACGTGTCGTTTCTCGAAAAACAACCGCCCGGTTGGTCGGAGACATGCGTGCGTGCTAACCGCTTTTGTGTATAATTTCGACGGGGCACCACCGTGTCTTCAACAAGGAGAACTGCTGACACAGGGCAATGTGAACACGAAAGCCTTCTCATTCCAGACCTGCGGCAATTGCAACCGCTTCTCTTGTTCGCCTGCCGCTCACTCAAAGCGACTTCCATCCCCCGCCTTCGGCCAGCGCGTCAAGTTCAGGAATTGTCCAACATCGAGAATCTTGTTATGTCTTTTGCTCAGGAAAGTTGGGTCAAGCCTGAATCTTGGTCGTGGCATCCTTGTTGCACCATGAGAAAAGGATGTCAGCCACGTCGTGGACCAAAGATCGAAGCACTTCCGGGCGGTGGCAATGACTCTGGTGACGTCCTGATCTGGGATCTCCCATTCGAAGCACACCGGCAGAAGCCCGAGAACTGAGAGGCACGCAGACTGTAGTCACTTCCTGCGCTCGTGGCTGCATTATCCTGAAACCACCCCATCCGACCCATCCCAAGCAGGCTCAGCAATGGGTGCATCGCGCATGCCTTCAATGGATGCCGTCAGAGCTGAAGGGGTGGGAGCTGCAGGCACGCAAGGGGTTCAGTTCCGCGGCATGTTGCCTCTAAGCCCTGAGACGCAAAAAAACCGAACAAAAATCTGAAACCCTGATCCCAAACATCCCAAACCCTATATATAGGCCTTACATCTTAACCTGTGCAGCCGACCCTTCCACAAGCTGAACCACCCCAAACCTAAGACCGAAATCTGAATTGATGCACGGCCACCAAGATGGCTGTTTCTCCATGGTGGAAGTGGATCCTCGTTTGGGGCTTAAGGCTTAGGGCTTCAGGTTTGAGGCTCGCGGTTCAGGGTTGAGGGCTTAAGGCTTAGGGTCTAGTGTTTCGGGTTCAGGGTTTGGAGCTCAGGGTTTATAGGGTTTAGGGCAATCGGGCTTTACATAAACAGAAGGATTTCTTCAGTTCATAGACCTTACAGGGTTTGTAGGTGGCGCGCCTGCTTTTGCAGGCTTAATTTATGTGGGAAAGGGCTTCATGGAGGCAGCGCAGACCCTCAATTGACAAAACCGCGAAAGGGTCCTAACTGACAGCCGGACATTTGCTATAATACTTGGTCAGGTGGGCACTATTGATGGAGGATACAGATTTAACCGCCACGAGCCCTCATTTCCCAACTTGGCGTCATCCTGCATGCATAGGCTGCCAGCATTCTGCATTCTACCTACCTGCGAGAAAGGAACAAAATTTCCTGACAAAGCCTCATGAGGCATCTCAAAAACTCATCTAGACTGGCTGCGAGAACCCTAAATTCTGGCCCCCAAACCCAGGATATTGAAACCCGAAAGTCAGGAACTTCAAACCTACACCCAAAACCCTAATTAAACCCTGAACCCCATCATCCTAGACTGACCCTATGATATGCCCTGGAAACTTCAATCCCAAGCTCTAATTTACCCAGCACACCCAATCGAAGTCCTAAACATAGCTCTAAACCTCAAAACCCCAACCCAAGACCACCCTGCGCCCTAAACTCCAAAAACCTCGCAAAACCTGAACCCCACACTCTAAAATCGTGAATACCGGAACTCCCCCAAACCTGAACCTCCCATCCCACAGGCCTAAACGCTAAATTCCCAAAACTTGAACCGAAAACCCCAAAGCCCTAAAGCCCTGAAGCTGTCGCCCTTTTAAACCCTATAAACATCCTTAGGCCCCAAACCCAAAAAACCTAAACCGCGAACCCCATGAAACCTAAAACCCCAAAAATCGAAGCCTCAAGTACAAAGGCCTGGAGCCACAGCCCTTCGCCCCGAAGCCGTCGATGCAGCCCTGCGGCTCGCCCCCGGTTTTCACCAGCCGGAGATCAAAGGATCGCGCTCCACAGTCTAACTGCTCCTTGAGGCCGATTGCCTGCGCCTGCTCGTGGTTTCTTGGCTGCTTTGGGGCTTAGGGCTTGGAGCTTGGGGTTTAGGGATTTAGGGTTCAGGGCTTAGGACTTTGGGGGTTAGGGTTTGGGGTGTAGCGTGTCTTTCTGAAGGATGAAGGTTCTTTGCAAGGATGAGGGTACTTTGGGCTTCAAGGATTTCGGGCTTACTGCATGGCAGGGACGTGAACAAGTATCCCGAAGTACCACCTAGCTTATCATGGGGCCGTTGTGCTTCGTTTTTGGGTTTGGGCCTTCCAGTGTTGCGTGGTTTTGGGGGCTTCGGGCTGAGGGCTTTAGGGCTGTAAGGCCCTCTTCGGATTTCTTGCCTGCTGCGGCTAAAGGCGAAACCCACGAACTGGCGCAAAAGGCCGGCGAGGTAATAAATCGAAGCGGGTCTTGGAGTAGAAACTGTAGTGAGATTACACAGGGACTAAAAAGGGAGACGGATAGTTTATAAGCTTCCATAATCTCCTTTACAAAACCCTGTAAGCCACGTACAACACCCTATAAGCATTTGCAAACCTCTCAACCGAGCAAAAGACATCCTCATATCATCCCCTACACGAAACACCTACAAAACGGTAAAACAACAACCATTCAAACGTTTAAGTGGAAACGTGTACTTACAAATCCCACATGAAATGCTTCAGGACATAAGAAACAAACAACCTTGCAAAACTCCGGGTCCGCTGCGTTACGGGGCTAGGTCTCGGGCCGTGAGCTTTGGGGGTTTTGGAGTCGGACGAACGTGCCGAGGCTCAGGTTTTTGGGTATGGGGAACCCTAAACCCTAGTTACTCCGAGTTTGGGGTTGAGACTTGACAGAGTCAAAAACTACATCTTCTGCCAGGGCAGCGCTGTAACCACTACAATTACAATTTATCGTTTCCTTCCCAACATTATACCCTTGCTAGCCAGTGCGGTTCCGGTGCTGTTTAATCTATGATTGCCAATGTCACGTTGAGAACGAGCGCATTTACTGCAACACCGCCTTCCTGCCAAGATGCCTCGTGTACTCTCCCATCCGTCAGGGCCTTTAAAAAAAAAGCCCGCTCACGCCTACTAAACCGAAACCTCTGAACCCTTTAACAAACCTGTAACTGTAGCCCTCAACCCTAAGCCGCCCCATCCAAGCTTCAGAGCTCTGGTTCCTAGTTCAGGATTCCCTCCTATGGTTCCGGCACTGTTCCTGCAACTCCCCATACACCCCCGAAGTCCTCAGTGCTTAGGGGCGTCGTTCCTAAGCCATTGTATGCGGAACCTGAGTGGATTGTTGCTCGGCTTTTAGTTTGGAGCTGGGAATTTTGGGTCGGGGGCTTACGTAGAGTTGCGAACCTCCAAACCTCAAAACCCAAGACGACGCCTGCCCAAACGCGTGATCGAAAAGATCGTAGTCACTGATGAAGCCCGTCGCAGAGTCGTGCGTCATCAGGAACGGTGACTCTGACAGCCTCATAGCAAACCCTAAACCCTAAACCGTATAATCCCCCAACGCCAAAAACATCCCTGAACAGCCAAACCCCTAAGCCCTCAACCCTCAGGTTCAGAGCCAGATTGCAGGCTCTACCGCGGAAGCTCGTGAATATGAGGCATTCACATGACGTTTACCAAGCCCTCTAGGATAGGGTTGTGTGAGGGATACTTTTGGGGATTTACATACAACATACTATGCCTGCAGATTCTAGGCATACAACTTAACAACGTTGGACCAGCCCTAAGCTTCGAACCATACGCCCGCCCCGTTTGTACATCAATAAGCAGTATCGTTTGTCAACCTCAAGGCCTTATCGCCCTGCCCCGAAGCCCACTAGCTTAATCCCCAAAACCTGAAACCAGAAACCCTGAAATCCTTGAACCTGAAATTCCAAAACGACCCTACGCCCGAAAGCCCTGTGGCAACCCCACCTTCCGGAACCCCGAAAGCCAAGCAGAAGCGCCCTCAAACTTGGAGGTTTGAATGGCTCAAGTTGTGGAGCCACAGTCTTCTCGTCTTTTAGCACTATGGTGTTTGTGATTTTGGGCTTTCGGGTGTGGAAGTTCTGTGGGGTACTGGTGGGAAGGCTTCGGGTTTCGCGAAAGCTGTACCTAAGCTTTGGCGGTTTCGCGGTTTCGGGCTTTAGGATTATTTGTTAAGATTTTAGGGGCCTAAAACCTGAGGGCTACTCCCTAAAACCCATCAGAAATCCTAATCCCTAAACCCTAAGCCGGGATGCTTTGAACTGGGATCCGGCTTGAGAGGGCCCATTGCACCAAGAGCAATGTCGCCTCGCTTGGCCGTGATGAGAGGCTGCAGTCTGCGAACGTGGGGTTGGTAATCCAGAGAATATACAACAGTATATACACCCGAAACATTCGGATGCTCGATATAAGGACCCCGGAAGAAGGCAACCCGGAATGTCTTCTGAACCCCATCAATGTTTACAGAGTTTCCCTCCACCCTCTGTAATCTCCAACTTTCGCAGCAGAGAAGTCGAAGCGCTGAGCCCTGTAAACCAACCAGTATTATACGGACTCTGTCAAGACCCGACAAGACCCAATACATGAACACTCATAGATACCCTGTGGATAACCCTACATTAC